GGAAGTGAGAGGGAAGCGAGGCGGAAGCGAGGCGGCGCTGGCTCGGTTTAATGGCCGCCGGTGACGGCGGAGACGCTGTGAGGGCCGGCCCCGCCCGGCCCCGCGCCGGGCCGCACAACGAACCACAGACACCGGTGCCTACACGCAGCCCTGCTCGCTCCTCTGGCTCTCTCTGCTCGGTGCAACCACGGCCGTTCGCTGCCGTGGTTGCCTCAGTGGAAGTTGTCCAGGATTTACAGTGCTTAGCGAAGTTTCTCTGGCGAACGCCTTATCTGGTGAACAGTCTGTGAGCCTCCGAATGCGCTGGGCGGGCATCTCTGGTGTAAGGTTTAGACTCTTCCCCTCTGCGATAGCACTCGGGGGATATCTCGGGGGAACAGCTGACTTGCTGTGGTCATCCTGGAACTCAGCTGGTGGCGCACGATTCAGGCTTTTCCCAGCTTGTCCTTTCACAGAGACTTCTTCCCAACAGTATTTCCCGCTGGCACGCCACGTGGGATTTATTTTGGTATTTGCCGTTTGTAGACTTCCTGGTAGGTACACGGGATGTTGGTAGGATATTGGCATGAGCAGATGGCAGTGAGGAGTACCTGAGCTTGTTTTTCTCATCAAGCTTTTACGGATCCTTTAGAAGCAGTCTATGATCCGACAAATTACAGAGCAGGGTGTTAAAACCACGTTATTACAAACAAATAAAAATTCCTAAACCTACAGGGCAAAACATACAGCCTTGTCATTGAAATCCATATTACAGGCAAAGGAAAGTCTCTCTCTTCTGTTGCATGGGTCGGGTCTGCTTTGCTTTCTTTAAGCAGGGCAGCATTGTGTCTCTGCCCTAACCCTTGGTTGGGCCCAAGAGTCATAAAGACTACTGATCTGTAGCCCAGGGTGAAGGTGATGGAACGTGGCTTTGTGCTTCACTGCTGTGAAGAAGCAGAGCCCTGGTGGTGTCTTTGATGAGGTTCACGTCTTCGATGTCCTTGGGCTGAGGAGGGCTGGCAGTGTGGCAGGACGGTTTCTGCAAGGGTCCATGGTATGTGACAAGTGACAAGGCTCCTGTTCCCTGCAGGACTGAGGAGGCCTGGTGCAGGGGGAAGGGCGTGCAAGGCTATATGCACACACTGCATACAGGAACACCAGGAGCCGTGAATGTGGGTGGTGAAAGGATTAGGAAGTGCTGGTGCGGTGTTCACAGCCTAGTGGTGCTGAGAACGACTGATTTGTGTGGACAGGTGGGAGTGAGAGTGAAAAGAACCTTTGCTTTGCAGTGACAGCACCAGAGAAAGCCACAAGATGGACATACGCTCCTGACAGTTTTGTTAAGGCTTGGAGAACCCTGTTCCCAGCCCTGGCCTCCATACAGCTCCATCAACCAACATCAAGTTTGACTTGAATCCTCCTCTGCTGCTCATTTGCTGTTTTATTCTTCCTCCCTCCAGTGCCAGCCTTTCCAACCCGCATCCCAAAGCCCCCGCACTTCCCTTTCTCAGTGCTGCCGTGCCCGGCCATGGCATTCCACATGCGTGTTTTTACGTGCAGCTGGCAACTCTCCTGGAGGGGACAGCCCCTGACAGCCACATGACATGCAGAGACAAGGAGACACTGCCAGCCTCAGGACATCTCTGGTCTTCTCTCCTCCCTCCTTCTGCCCAGACAGCCCTGACACTTTCGACCTGGCTCAGGGACACCCAGAAAACAGCTGACACACCAGCTAGACACAAGCATGTAGTCTTCAGTAAAGCTGTGCCCCTTTTTGCTCACAGGTCTTCACCTTCCCTCCCCATCCCCTCCAGGGAAAGGTAGAACAACAGCTTCTCAACAGGACACAAAAGCACGTTAAGGTGTGAGAGCTTGGGAGAGGGAGGAAACAGTCTGGAGGAGTATTTGAGTACTTGGAGAAATGAAGGAGAGACTTAAAGGATGAAGAACAGAGAAAGTGAGACAGGGAAAGAAAGGAAGGAAGAAAGCTATGGAGAGCTAAAAGGGAATGAGGACAAAAGCACAGAAGTGGAGGAGGACATGGGACAGTAGAGAACAGAGGAACAGCAGTGCTGCAGTAGCAAATGCAGCCATTTCAATGAGGAGAATGAAGAAGAGGTATCTCTTGTGCCCCCACCCTGGCCCCATGCTTCTCAATCCATGGCTGTTTTCACTCCTCCAAGATCCTCAAGGTGCTATGCCAAGTGGAGCTGTCCCTGGGGGAGGTCCCAGCAGGGACCCCCTGTGGCATTGTCTTCCCTGTGCTCCCACAGCAGAGAGGCCACGTCGTGGGGAAGGGTTTGGCCAGGACCTGCTCAGTGCTGGTGGAGAGAGACCACTGCAGTGGGAGACTGCAGCAGGGACATGGGGTGACCCCATGAGTTGGGGTGACCCCAGCGCAGATTGGTCTGATCTGCACACAGTCAAATGCCTGTGACACAAGCATGGCTTTTGACCTTAGTGCCAGCCAGGGCACAAGCACCCTCTGCAGCAGGAACATGTTCATTTCCTCTGGGTTCTGCTTCTTTTGGAAAATGTATCAATTTTCCCCAAGTACTTTGATGCTTCTCAAACAGATGCTACAGTCCGAGAACTAATTCTGTCTCCTCCCACCAGTCACTTGCTCTGAACCACAAAAATGTGCCAGTCTTCTCTCATCTACCCTGTTCCAAGCTGCCATTTCCCCTTGGGAAGCCACAGCAAGAAAAAGGGATAAAATTCCAGGCCACCATGCCTTCAGACCAACCAGCTGCCTTTACACCCATGGAAGATCCAAGAGAAATCTCTGCTGACACCTCTTGAAACATACATGCATCGACTCCGCCATCTCTCCCAGAGTCTCTCCTTGCCATGTCTCCAAGTGATAAAAATAGGACCACAGCATGCCCCACACCTCCCCCCTCCAAAATCCATGCCCCTAGAAATCCTTCCCCCCCAACACTATTTCCCCCAGGCAAGATACACAGCTGAGACACAGAAATGAGAGAAAGGAAGCTGTCAGACAGTCCACTGTGCAAAGAACAAACCGAGAATGGGGACACTCTGGGAAGGATGGGGGAGGTGCCCTTGTCCCTCTCCGGCACACAGGGAGGCACATGCACGCCCGCACACACTCACACTTGCATCCTCTCACTCCCACGGAGGATGTGCCACATGCTTCAGAGACAGGCCCATGGTTGAGTCAAGGGTAGCAGGGGTGGGTTGTCTATCCAGAGTCACCAGGTGACCGTGGAGGGGGAGGGTCTTTCACAGGTTGCTTTCGTGGTTTTCCTCTGTCTCAACAGTCATGGGGGGCAGCCCTCCATTGTCATTCAGCCGTTTGGCCCTGTAGGTCTCATAGTGGATGTTGTGGGTCACTTCTTTTAGGTCCTGAAGGTGGGTCCTGCAGGGGACAAAGTGGGTTGGGAAAGAGGATATGATAGCCAATGTCAGCACAGTAAGTATTATTCTTCTGATGATAATTTTATTCCCCCAAATAAACAGAATATTTTTTTCAGTCACTCTGTTTAGCTAATTATTGTTACCCCGCTTTCTGCATGGACAACATGAGTGCCATCATACACAACTGAGAGCTGGAGCATCAGCATTTGAGAACACACAGGCAGGATGCAGGACATGGGCTGAAATTCCTGGCTGTGCTTGCCAGTGCCCTGCCCTTCTTGCACCTGTGCCACCAACATAGCCACTGACCATCCTGGTGTGTCAGACCAGACTGGGACTTAGCTGAAGCAGTGGTGAGACAAGGAAGCATCAGGAAGTGTATCAGGTTCACTGTGGATCATAAGCTGCAGAACACTGCTGTGAGCATCATCCCTAACCTCCATAGACAGCCTGGGGGCTTGGATTGCTATAGGCTTTGAGATGATCATTTGAGTAGATGTTTTTACTGGAAGACTTTAGAAAAGCTGCTGCAGAAGGTATTACAGAACAAAAAGAGGAAAGGGTGATGTCAAAGCACTGTACCTGGCCAAATGTTTCAATGGCACTGTACCCACAAGTGGAATGACACCCACAGGGCTTTGGTGTTGAACTGTGTTTCTCTTATTTTCTTATTTTTTGTGTTGTTTTTATAGGGAAGAGAGGTGACCCTGGATCTACAGCTCTTATGCAGAATTTGTGCTGAAGCAACTTCATGAAACAGAGTACAAATAAGACAGGACAATGAAAGCTACTGAAATATGAAGGTTTTCACTTCCAGCCCTTATGTTCCAGCACATCCTTCAACCTGGAAGAAAACACAATCTAGGATGTGGTAGTGATCTCCTTATTACTGACCTGCTGTCAGCAGCAAATAGAAGTTTTTGCAGCCTTGAGAGGGGTGGTACTATTGTGCTTTTCTCCAGGCATCCAGCTCACACATGAAAACTAGCACCTACCTGACATAGTGGTCATGTCACTAAGAGAGGCACTAGAGTATCTACTCCTTAACTCAATCCAACCCTACACCACATAAGCTTTCACTGCCTGAAATTTACTTTATTTCCCTTTCAGTAGGGGCTATTTCATTCTGAATGGATCTCAGGAAGACTCACAGCTCATCAGGAGCAAACTAGTGCATGACCATGACCTTACCTGATGACAAAATCTCGAAGTAGGGCAAATTCACAGTGATTGAGGTTTTCCACTGAAAAGAAAGCAAGCAATTGTTACATTTGATTTTTTCAATAGCCCCTTTGTGGTTATAGAGATGGGAAAGTCACTGCCCTGGGGGCAGGTTCCAAGTAGGTAGAACTTGCATACTTCAGAAAGGACAGGCAGTTGTCTGAACACCACACTGTCGAGCATTGAGGAGCCACACTAAGAAATGCTGAGCAGTCACACATGAATTTTCATTTGAAAACCAAGGCAACCTCAGGAGCTTAGCTTCACATGCCATGGTGTTCAGAGTGGCTCCAGCTTCTGCCAGGTGCTGATAGTGGCACCATATTGACCATGGCAGCTCCCTCCTGGCACAGCTATTTGAGAATTCTCCTTTTGCTTGATTTCAAGCAGTTTGTCACAAATGGGATGAGAAGGTAGCCACAGGACATGCTATCTGGACCCTTGTCTATTACTGTGATGTGCAGACAATAATTTCAGCTCCCATAAGCAAGAGGTTTTTTACCTTCAATGATTCCCCAAGGTGTTTTCCTGCCCAGGACTCTTTTGCCATTCACTTGGTACTCCTTGTCACTGCCCACTACTGCAAAGGGCATGCTTTCCTGCTGGGGAGAGACACATGGAAAGATCCATTGAACCCATTCCAGAGACCAGCACCACCATGGTTCCCCATCCACCTTTCCACCTCTCAGCTCAACAAATACAATGCCTTCTCCGAGGGAAGAGATTCTCCAGAGCAAAACTTCACTGGCTGTCCTTTTCACCCCTCAGTGCTATCCCTAGAATTCTGGACTGTTGCTTTCCAGGTGTCCTTGCACCCCAACAAGCTTAGTGGGTAGCTTGCAGCAGTCCCAAGGGCTCAGGAGCTGGGGCAGAGCTTTTCTGCTCCTATCTCCAGCATTTCTGAGGAGGAGGATAACCAGAGAAGTACCTTAGCATCACCAACAGAGGGTCAGTCCAGCCCAGGGCTGCTCATATGGATAGCTTGAGGTGAATATTTCTCACCAGATTTGTAGTTCTTCAGAACAGAAAGACAGGACTCAAATAACCCTTCCCCATAAGCCACATGAACATTCATCTGGTTTAGTGGCTGAAATTGTACTGAGGGAAGCCAGAAATGGAGTAAAAGTGCAGCTTTCTTGGGAAGTAGGACAGTAGGTGAAGCTATTGAGGACTCATATCTCTAAGCACAGGGAGAAACTATCTGTTTCCAGAGCACAGAGTGCAGGAGACTCTGCAGTCCATAGGGTTGTGCAGATGTTCATAGGGTTACTCTGCTTTATAGATATCCCTGGAAAGAGATTGCAATTACCACAGGAATGGAGATTAAAAAGCAGTTTATTTCTTATGTGTGAGGGCAATGATGCTGAAGTGCAGAACAAAATGTGGTGCTCTTCTCATCACCCCTTTCCCTCCCACAATAAAATGTTTCCTACCCTGATTTTGTCGTTCTCTGTTTTATCCTCCAAGTCCTCATCAAATTCTTTCTGGGGATAAAATTCGATCCCATTTACTTCTAGTTCCTTGCGCACCTAAGCAGAGAAACATTTTGGAGCACAAAGTAGCACAAACCTGAAAGTAAGGCAGTTGGCAAGGCCAGGAAAACACATCTGGGACATTCTTCCAGTGGTCAGAAGCTGAGGGATTGTCCCAAGGAAGTGCACAGTAAAGTGAGGACACAAGGCAGCAACGATGAGTCTTTCTTTCCAACCTCAGTTACTTGTCTGGCTCTCCAGTTCCCATGACAGAACATATCACAAGACATCACAGGGGTACATACATTTCTTCCTTCTCTAACAGATGCCCTCAGAGATATAAACAGCTGCATCTTTAGGATTTATCCACCATTCCTGCACTGCACTCTCTGCACACCCTGGGGACTGCACTGCAATCCCAGGAAGAAGGACACCACTCATTTCTCCTGCCTCCAAGCCAGGGCAGGGAAGGATCCCACCCAGAAGAGGAGATACTCACTCTTTGTTTGAATTCAGTCTTCTCCTCCAAGGTCATGGTGTCAGCCTTAGCAATAACTGGGATGATGTTCACTACCTTGCTGAGATGTTTCATGAACTCCAGGTCCAAAGGCCGCAAGCTGCAGCCCAAGAAGGAACAAGATGGAAAAGGTCACTTTTTACCCTCCTCGCCTTTCATCCTAATGACTGTCCAAGCATCAGGGCACCAGTGAACCCTCCCTTGTACATACCCTGCTTGCTGCCACCATGTTCTCATCTCCTTCTTCCCATCCATTCTGCCCTCTCACAAAAAGCACAGTGGCATTTCTCCTGCTTTTGTAATCTTAGACCCTTTCATGCCCCACAGCACCCAAAGTTAAGCTAAGGAGTGGCCAGCCCTGCTGGCAGGATCCCTGAATCTGTGTCTGAGGTGCAGCAGTGTAGGATATATATCTGGCACAGAGGTACCAAGGGCTGGAGGAAGGACAAGGGACTGTGTACATACGAGTGGCCTGTAGGGGAGATGAAGTAGAGGCAGCAGTGCACGCGCGTGTCTGGAATTCGTTTCTTCCTTGCAATATTCACCTCCTCTTTCAAAAACTTTTCATATTGCTCATTGATGTATTTCTCAATAGGCTCCCAGCTGTTAAAGTGGGAGAGAGAGATCAACAGACAGGTAAAAATCTCCTTGTGTTCCTGCCTACAGTGTTCCCAGCTCTGACAGCAGCAAAGCAGTCTCAGGCATAAAAAAAAATCCACCTCAAGCATCTTGCCATCAGCACAATGATTAAAGTTTCTGTAACTGGACACAGAAGTAAGCACTCATCATATAGTATGTGCATACCCGCAGTCACACACCCAGACCCACAGTTTCACTGCCCCACAGCCCCATTATCAGCCCCCCAAGTGCAGTAGGATTCCAGACACTTTCAAGGGCCAAACGGATGACAGTCACTCATATATCATCTTAACTTCAGCCCTCTCTGGGACACAAGGCTTTAACCTTTTAAAACTCACCAGTTCTCATTGTTGATCTGGTCCCCAAATCCTGGTGTGTCAATCACTGTCAGCTTCATTTTGACACCACCTTCTTCAATGACTGGGGGAGAAATTGCAAATAATCATACTCTTCCCTGGGGACCTGCTTTATCATGAAACACATCTCTGTGTCCCACAAGGGAACAAAATAGCTCTGCCCTCATCCCTGCCCAGAAAGCATGACCAGACCAGCCTGTATCATGCCTCAACAGTTATGACCCCCATTTGCATGTCTGACCCCAAATTTTGGTAATATCTACACAAAAGCCACCTTTCACCACTCTGCCACAGGAAAATGGATTTGTGCTCGGTCTGTGGCCCAAAGGTAGTACCTACCTTAACACAGCTTCTCCCCTCTAACACATCATCCTGAGTCTGAGATGATGCTCATTACCCTGCACCACTGTCGGAGCTGTGCTGATGCTTTGTGAGGAGGTGTGCATTACCAGGACAGGACTCAACAATGCACCTTGTATAGCTTATTAAATGTAACTGCAGGTGAAAATGACTTACATCAAGGCTTAATCAACAACTGCAGACTAATGTCTTAGGCGATGAAATCTCTCTAACAATTTCTCTACCCCTCACTTTTGGCTGTGGCACCAGTTTAAGAAAAGCCTTGTCTATCTCTGAGGTCATATAAAACTGTCTTTCAGCTTTCTATGTGGAAAGAGTTGCCTAATACCAGAGAACTATTTGTGCAGACTGCTGGGATCTTCTGCAAGACTATGATGAGGCATCAGTATTGCTTCTACCCCGGCAGCCTGGCTCTTACCATGCCCAATAGCTTTGATCTCCACTGTCTTGGGGATCTTCTCCTCCCGGTTCCAGCCTGAAGATTTGCGGCTCACCTGGGATTTGAAGAGGGTGTTTACCAACGTTGACTTTCCCAGTCCGCTCTGACCTGAGGATTGCAGAGAGGAAGCTGTGACATTTGCTACAGCCTGGTGATGACAGCAGGCCCAGAGAACAGAGCCAGGCTTGCAGGGGAAGGGGCTGGAGGTGTCTCCTTGCCGTGTGCAGACTCTGTTTACCCTCAGAGCATGTGCTCTGTGTGCTCCCTCATGCCCTCCCCGCAGGCTCACTCTCCCACCTGGCCTCAGGGGACAGTCCCTGGCCATGGTTCCCAGTTCCTCAGCTGCCTACCTACAACCATGATGTTGAAGTCAAAACCCGTCTTCATGGTTTTCTTGCGCATCTGCTCAATTATGGTGTCAATACCGATGTAGCCCAGCAAGCTGGCGTTGATGCCCATGGGTTTCATTGGTACAACTGGCTTTTGTCGCGGCTCTGGGACCAGCTCAGACATGGCTGCTTCGTTTTTGCTCTCCACTGGTCCTGTACAGGGACAAAGATTGAAAAATCATCACTGAGGTGTAACAACAAACCTCCTTGCTGACCTGTCGCAGGGGCTGAGGGCAGCTTTGAGCAGCCTTTTCAAGGGCTATTGAGGATAACTGGATTAGATTTTAGTGCTAAGGCTCACCACAGAGGAACACCTACTTGAGTTTCCAGCACACTTCTACATAGCACTCCAGACAAGGACATGAAGTGGGGTTCACTGAGAATGAAGCATATTGATGGCTACCTCCAAACAGCAGGGGCAGAGAGGCTGGCTGGGCTGATAATCAGGTGCCCAAAGCTCCAGGTGTGTCTCCTTATATTTGTCTCCTGGTTCTCAACAGGACCACCAGCATTTTGCCCCTCCAACTTCACCATAAAATTTGCAGTGGAACGGACTTAAAAAAATTATGTGTGAAGTCCTGGCATTGAAACACAGTTTGGGATGCACCATGAGGACTTGCAAGCTCGGCCCTTGCCAGGAGTGGCTGGATTACTGGCTGTGGCACACAGGCTGAGTTCCTCAGAGGAAGACAGTGGTGCAAGTGAAAGTATTGCCATAATCTCTGTGCTTGCCTCCCACCTGTAGACCAATGTTCCTTGTCATACTCAAGAAACTAATCATCATGATCAGAAAATTAATTATCTGCATCTTTCCCTCCTCATCTCTGCTTCCTCACTTCTTCCATGTAAAACAATTGGGTAAAAAGAAAACCCTAAGGGCTTTCCAGCCTCCCTGACCCTTTTTTGGATGATGGCACACATTGCTAGGGGCAGGCCTCACCCATTTATCTCTGTCTCATTAGTGAGTAGCTCCCACCCGCTGGGAGGAAGTGGAGGTTGGGAGAGGACAGGGCATGGAAGAAAAGCTGTAATTGGTGGGGAAGGGAGGTGTGAGAGATGAATCTGAAAAGGAAGATGAAGGGGATAGGAATCAAATACCTTTCATATACAAGCCAGCTGCAAACTAGAGTTTCTCCCACTCTAATTACTTGACTCCCCCATGCTTTGTCTCATTAGAGGGTTATTTTTCCAGGACAGAGACAGAATGTGTTTTTGCTTGGTAAGTACTTCATTTGTTTTGGATGCCACTTCAAGTATCTCACACTAAATTATCCCTTTCCATCATTTTGGCAGAGTTTTTTCCTCCACTTATCAGAATCCACTGGCAGCAGGAAAGGACATGAGCAGCCAAGGCAGGCGACTGCCATTTGGTGGTGACACATGCCCCTTTTCAAAAGGAAAATGACTCAGAAGTCACCGGGCTGGGGACACTGATGGCACCAATCTGGGGTCCCTGTGACAGCTTAGTCAAGCCAGACAGAGACAGACTGAGAAGAGGTCAGAGAGATTTTGTTCAAGGACAGGGATAGACTGCAGTGGGCTCCGTGGCTGAATGGGGACCCTGCCTGGTATTCCCACATCAAAGCTCCTGTGCTGACACAAGGGCTGCTCTACAAAGTGAAGATTTTACATTTTTTATAAGCTGTAATATCCCACTACCATGTGCTAAGGAAAGACCCTGTGGAAGGGCCATCCTTGATAAGGAAAGGGTGCCTCCACCCATTTCCTTTTCTCTGCTTGGGAAGTCTTTTATATTAAACTGAGAGAAGGAGCTTTCCTCTGTGTGAGATGATGGTAACACAGCCACTCATGTACAGCACTGTGGGTAACACCTTGTGCCACCTCTGTTTCACCTTGCCCACACAGGAGAGGTCAGTGAGAGGATGGCCCCCCTCCTGCTTTTCCCCACCGAGTGAGGGCACCCTGGACTATCATCACCCTCTCCTGAAGCAGCGAGCTGCACCCTGGGGGAACCAGAGCACAAGATGGACCATTGGCTTGAGTCAGACTGGCAATTTAGAACACCTCATGCTGCCGGGCAGCTGCTGGAGGAGGCAGCCTGCCGAGCCAAGTGCTTCTCAGCTGCAATCCTCTCTTACAGCCATCACAACCAGTATGTGCCTTTCCTGCTGACGAAGCATCCCCTGAGGCTCCCGTTGTCTTTTTTCAGCTTTATCAAATCTGATGGCAGCCAGGAAAGCCCATCTCTCTGTGTACAGCACAGGGGGCCAGGGCAGCCAGTTCTCCTGCACCCTACCTTTCACTCATCCTCTCTAGGCTGCCCACATCACCTGTATCATGGTTGTGTGGCTGGGCTGTGTCCCTTAAGCTGCAGCAGCGCTCTCCATATGCACCCCACACAGCCCTGCTGGGGTCCTACCTAGCCCTAAGAGTGGGAGAAGAGAGAGAGAGACAGAACGATGAGGGAATTAAGGACAGGGGGCTGTGGCCCCAGCAAGGTACTTTGCTACTGGAGTAAATGAAGGCAAATAAACCCCAAAAGTGGAAGGGAACAGGTCAAGAAGGGAAGAAAGCCCAGCTAAGCAGCTGCATGGGATGGGTGCAGGATATGGGCCATGTGGGCTGTGACCCTTTCACTGCTTGGGTGGTAGATTGTCCTCAGGGAATCTGTTGCCCTTCATTCCTTCCACCCTTGTTCTTACAAAGGGAGGAGGAAGGAGGGAATTTGTTGTCAGCCTCAAGGCTCACTAAGAGGTTCATAACTCATCCCTCAATCTCACCAAGGAAAGCCTTGCCCAGAGCCAGCAGATGTTGCTAACTGCTGTGGACATCATAATACACATTCCTTTGGAAGCTTCACTGTTGGAGCCAGGAGCTTCCAGTGACTAGGGCAGATATTTCAGATTCGGGTTCTTGAGCAGCTATAGAAAACCCTGAGACCAGGAGAAAAGATCTCCAGAAGTCTCCTTAAATATGTTTCCTGGATTTTATATCAGAACATTCAAGGTGTCAGGATAAGCCACCTGCCCTTCTCCTCTAGGTCACTTGCCTTCCTCTCCGTGTGAGGTTCCTTCCCATACAGGCAGGGAAGCCCCCATTTTGCTGAATTTTTCCTGGGGCTCATCTCTCTGCACATGATTTGTCACCTTTTGCCTCCACAGATGAATTCAAGGATCCAGCTGAGGAATAGACTGCTGTGGGCGATCAGGGTGTGCAAAACTAGGACCAGAGCCGTAAGAGGCACCCTGAGAATGAAACATGTCTGCCTGCTCTCCTGGGAGTGGCTCTGTTTTATGTGCACTACACGATGCTAGGAAGCGTCCTGAGCACACGGAGTGCCTGGTGAAGGGGTGGCACTATGTGTCCTGGGCACATCCTGCAGCCCTTGCAGCTGTTCCCTCTCATGAATGTGTGAGAGGGCACTACAGCCAGTACAGCTGATAATGAATAGAGGGGTATCCAAGGTTAACCACTCACATCTGCTGTTTGCAAGGCCCCCCTTTTCCCTACTGCTTTGTTCTGTGTGCTAGGAGAAGCTCACTTAAGAGGGCTGTAGCTGGTTACACCCACCCTGCTGCCCAGATCCAGTAGGAGGTGGCCCTGGGCTGGGCTGTTAGGGAATATCTGGCTCACAGGAGATGATGCTCCTTGTGACTGGACCAAGAGAAGGTGCCACTTTTGAGGTAGGGACAGGCAGAACCAGAATGAGTGCCCAGAGAGGTCCCCATGGTCCCAGCTAGCTCCTGCTTCTGACACCCATTGATCCACCCCAAAACCTCTCCCTGGAAGGCAGGCATATGTGGCCAGCAGCAGCTACCAGTACTGCAGCTCACCCTTCATGCTCTGACGTTCACCGGAGCTGTGTGGGGACAGAGGTGGCCCTGCAGGTCCCTTAGGGGCTCAGATAGTGGGGACTAACATCTACTAAGTCCCGATAACCCAGATACAGTCACATCCCCTCCCCCTGCCTTCCTATCCTTTGTCTGGCAAGAGGGAGGGAGAGCTGCAAACAGTGCTCACCACAAACCAGCTTCCAGCAAGGAGAAGCTATTTAACCCCCACATAACACATGGATGGCCTTGCTGCAGCTCTCCTTCAGTGTAGCACAAGGCTGTCCCTCTGCAGCTGGAGGCAGTGATCCTCACACACATCTCACCCCACCCCCTTCCACCCATGTGGTCCTAGACCCACAGATCCACTCGCTGTGTACATAGAACAGGGATGAGGGATGGGTTCAAAACCTGAAGGTAGCTGGCAGAAGTAGGCCCTCAAAGGGTGATGCCAGGTTCCTAGGAAAGAAAGCAAGCAGCTGCTTCAGTAGCACAGCCTCCCTGGAGCTAATGGGCATCAGGACCTGCTCCTTGCTTCAGATCAGCAGAGGTGCTGGACTCAGCATCTCTCCACTGAAAAAATACCTCTCCCTCCTCAGTTCCCATGATGACCCCAGGGCATTTCTTTCAGCTGTGCAAGGGAATGGCTGAGCCCTGCTGGATGTACTGCCTGACCTCAGAGTACAGAACAGAACGATTCTTCTTACTAGATCTTTTTGTCTGGCTTGAAGATCGTCCCAATCCTCTGGGCTGCCGCAGCCTTCCTGACAGCAACCTTTCTTCCCCTCAGCACTCTGCAAAGGGCTTGGGCAAGAGCCTGGCTGCAGTGAAATCTAGGGCAGCATGTGCCGAAGCCTCTCTGGAGATGCAGAAGCCGGAGGTGAAGGAGCTGGGCACATCCCCAGCCCAGCCACCACAGCCCCAGCCATGCCCTTGGTGCTGCTTTCTAGCTATACAACCCGTGTCCCATGTCCTAGCTCACCCCCTGGGTGGCACAGCTGTATCACAAGGCATGAAGATGCTGAGCACCCCTGGACCAGGGTACCCACACCACCACAGCTGCCTGTGCCCCTGCCCACATGCCTGCTGGCTCCTGTGCCAGGATGCCCAGGGAGAGGCACAGGACATTCCCACTGCCTGTCACTGGCAAAGGACAAGCTAGGTGCTGATGAGTTTGTGGGCACTCCCCAGCTGGATTATCCCTTCCCTTCAAAGCAGTGCCTGGCACTAGCTACTCCCCATCAGCACCACAACCAGCCCTGTTCCTTCTCCTTCATACAAGGCTGCCACCAAAAGGAAAAAAACCAGAGGAAAGACAAAGCCAGGACCGATTTCCCCCACTGCCCTCCAGGGTTATCCCTCCCCCATGCCCAGCTGGGCAGCGTGGGGGCATGGTGGAGGATTCCTGCGCAAAAAGCCCCAGCGGTGTCCCTCTGGCGTTGCCCAGCCCTGTCAAGCCCGGAGCATCCTACCTTTGAACATGAAGCTTCCTTTGTCTCCGAATCCTCTCCCAAGGGGATGGGTCTCCCCCCACTTTTCTAGCCTGACGCTGATGAAGCAGCACGGTGGGCTACAAGGCTCCACTTGCTTTTACCTTTGTCTTTCTTCCCTGTGTCCTCTTCTCCCCCCTCTCTCCTTCCCTTCCTTCTCCAGTGGATATTTCAGCAGAGCGGGGATGCTGGTGCTGCTCCTGCTGCCATCGTCATGTGACCTGAATATTAAACATCTCCGCAAAATCTCCCCCCGCGCACCCTCCCCCGGCTCCATCCCAAACCCCGGCTCCATCCCAAACCCCGGCAGCCTCCCTGACTTGCGGGGGGGGCATGGCCTCGGGGCTGGAGGGGCCGCTGCCGATGGGGCCCCCATGTCCTGGAGGGGCCCTCGTTGCACACCCACACCCCATAGGCCTTCCCTTGCCCTTTTCCCTCCCAATTCCCCAGCCTTTTCAGCATCTCTGCTTGTTTAGGGAGGGGCATATTTAACCCTTCACAGCTTAGTTCCGGCGGGGCTGAAAGTCGGCGATCTTTGCCCCTAGGTATTTCTTGGGATCAAAGGATTGCAAAATGTCCTTCTGCTTTCCCAGAGGGAGGAAATTAGGAATGTTTTGGTTCATCAAAAGCGATTTGCCCTTCGGCTTTGCCTGCGGAGGTGTGAGAAACCTTTTCTCCTCCAGCACCATGATTCCTGGCTGTCAGCCCAAGGTGCAGAGGCAGAGCCAGCGCTGTCCCCTCTCTGTGCATGTGTGTACAAACGTGTGTGCCTGTGTGTGGTGAGCAGGGATGGGTCCTCCCACTTGGACCGTCTTGGGGTACACGGGTCACATCCCCATGTGCCCTGGCAGGCACCTCCATGTGTCCTGTGGATGTGCTCATGCCTGAAGAGCCGTGTGGATACCTCTGGCTGCTTGCAGCTTTGGATAGGGATGCCCTTTCCCTGCTTTGAATTTCCTTCTCCTACACTTGTGAACCCTGGCCCCAACACGCACTGTGTGTGTCCCTGTCGTGCTGTGCTGGGACACCAACATCTGGGAATGCTCTGACCCTCTAGTCAGTGGGATGACAGGAGCACCACGTGTTCCCCCACCACAAGGCAACCCCCCTGAGTGGAGGCCAAGCTGTAGGATACATGGCAGACTTGGCAATGGTTTGGGGTTCCTCTTTTTACAATCTTATTTTTACAATGGACAAAAAGAAAACTGCACCCACTGCAGGTTACAGAACATTTGAAGTATCTGTCAGCAGTTACCCCGGGCTAGGCTGGTTTCCGACAGACAGACAGACAGGCAGGCATTCCAGCACCCAGACAATCTCCTGACATGGTGACCACAGTTGCCTGTCTCCCTGCTGGGTGCCAGGCTCACAAACTCGGGGGCTTTGCCCACCCATGATTCTGGTGTCGGTCAAGAGGAAATCACTCTAAAAGGAGCAAGTCCCCGTCCTCCCTCTCATCACCCTACCTCTCCTGAAGGGTCCTGCCCATGCTGGGCTCCATGTCATCAGCAGGGGACCCTTTGGTGCCTCCCTCCCCCTGCCCAGCCCATCCCGCCAGCGGAGACCCACCGGAGCGTGGTGGGGCGCAGGACACCGCCATCTTCGGCACCGGGGTGGCCTCGGCCCCGTCAGAGCTGCCGTGTCGCTGGGGCCCCTCGGCCGCCACGGGC